TTCTCAAGCTCTTCGTCCCTACCCTGTCCTTATTTACTCCCCTTATATCAAAGGAGTCATTTGGTATTTGTTTTTTAAAGATTGACTAGCTTCACTTAGCATAATCTGCTCTAATGCCATCCATTTCCCTCCAAATTCTATGGGAGTGAGCTTTTATTGGGGAACAAAAAATTCTGGGGAAAATCCCATCCAGTGAAGATTAAGGGGGGCAGCATCCTGAGGTCAGGGGCGACGATTGGGACTTCAGGGCAGTGGCCAGACACACCTCTGCACGGACAAGCCCTCGAACCTGGAGAAGGGTGGGGAAAGCTCTGACACAGCTGTGCCTAAGCGCCTCTCGCCCAGCCAGGGAGGTGACTCCAATCACATGCGAGGATGGCCTCCCCAGAGTGCTGAAACTACAGACTGCTTAACTCAAAGAAACCAGGAGCCGCAGAGTAAATGGAGAGAAACACCACATTCAAACTGGGAAGACTTAAGACAGTGAAGATGCCAGGTCTCCCCGAAGTGAGCTATGGGTGTGGTGTGAACCCTAACATGGCATTATTTATGTAAATATAAACAAAATGATTAAAAATTTATATGGAGGGCTGGGATATAGCTCAACTGGTAGAGTGCTTGCCTTGCAGGCACAAGGCTTGGGTTTGATCCCCAGCACACCACACACATGCACAAATATATATATATAAATATGGAAAGCCAAAGGAATTAGAATAGCCAAAATAGTTTTCAAAAAGAATAAAGTTGCAGTGCTCTCATCACTACTAATTTTAAGACCACCTAAAGTTACAGAAGTCAAAACGAAACGTTATTGGCAAAGAAATAGACTAATGGATCAATGGAATAGCCCAGAAATAATATAATATATACACAGGTATAGCCAACTGCTGTTTGTCAGAAGCGCAAAGAAAGTCTTTCAACTGCTGGAACTGAAACAGTTGGACATTCATATGTTAAAAAAAAAAAATGAACTAAATCTCATGTCTTACATAAAATTCTTGTAGAGAAATTACATAGAAATTTTTATGCATTTTATATGCAAGTCAGCTCAAAATTGATTATGGATCCATATTAAAATGCCAAACTACAAAATTTATGTAAGAAACATTAAAAATCTTAGATATTAAACCAGAAGTGCAAATCCATAGAATAAAAATTTGATAAATTAGACTTCATTGAAACTAAAAATGTTCTGTAATCTAACTTTTTAAAAAGTTTTTGTGGGGCTGGGGTTGTGGCTCAGTGGTAGAGCGCTTGACTCTCATGTGCAAGACCCTGGGTAAATCCTCAGCACCACATAAAAATAAATAAGTGAAATAAAGAGATTGTATCCAACTACAATTAAAAAATAAATATTAAAAAAAGTTTTGGTGAAGCCCAATTTATTTATTTGTTTATTGTTAGAGCTCCATAGTTATACATAGTAGTTGGGTTCATCCCAACAAACTTATACATGCATGGAAATCTATTTTCAGTTCCTTTTTTTTTTTGATACTGAGGATTGAACCCAGAGGTTGGTTCACTTGGCATGATATGGTTTTAAAGTTTAGTTTCCAGTTGTTCATTTTGTAATGGAAATTTTTGTTGTTGTTGTCTTTATGTCCTGTGACCTTTCTAACCACTGAGGCACATCCCTGGACATTTTTTATATTTTACTTAGAGACAGGGTCTCATTGATTTGCTAAGTGCCTCGCCACAAGTTGCTGAGGCTGGCTTTGAACTCATGATCCTCCTGCCTTAGCCTCCCGAGCCACTGGGATTACAGGACTGCACCACTGCACTTGACCCCCGCTCAGCTCTGTTTCTGTTCTTGATTCCCTCTTCCTCCACCTCCCTTCCCTCCTCCCCCTCCCTTTCTCCTTCTTCTACTCTACTAGACTTCCTTTTGCTTCTCTAGTGATTTGTATTTGAGTGGTTCTAATGTTATCCTATCCTTTCCTCCCTCTTTCCTTTATTTTTCCACATATGAGAGAAAACTTTTGATCTTTGAGTTTCTGAGTTTGCCTTATTTCACTTAGCATGATATTCTCCATTTCCATCCATCAGCAAATGCCATAATTTTATTATTTTTATGTCTGAGTAAGCTCCATTTTATATATATATATATATGATRTACATGTATGTATATATCATATATATATCTCACAGTTTCTTAACCTAGATGCTTGTCAATAGATAAATGGACTGAGTCCTTAATTAAGCTATTGTGAATTGTGCTGCTATAAACATTGATGTGCCATGTTGCTGTCATATGCTGATTTTAGATCTTTTGGGAAAATATCAAGGAGTGGGATAGCTGGGTCATACGGTGGTTCCATCCCAGGGTTTTTGAGGAATCTCCATACTGCTTTCCAAAGTGGTTGTGTTAGTTTGCAGTCCTACCAACAATGTCCAAGTGTATCTTTTCTTCCCCCACAGCCTCACCAGCATTTACTATTGTTTGTGGTTTTGATCCTTGCCATTCTGACTGGAGTGAGGTGAAACCCTAGTGTAGCTTTGTTTTGCATTTCCCTGATTGCTAGAGGTGTTGAACATTTCTTCATATATTTATTGACCATTTGTGTTTCTTTTTTTGAGAAGTTTCTCTCTAGTTATTTTGCCCATTTATTGATTGGGCTATTTGATTTTTTGGTATTAAGTTTTTTGAATTCTTTGTATAGTCTAGATGTTAATTCTCTATCAGAGGAGCAGCTGACCAAGATTTTTTTCCCATTCTATAGGCTCTCTCTTCACACTCTTAATCATTTCATTTGCTGTACAGAAGCTTTTTAATTTGATGGCATTCCGCTTATTGATTCTTAGTTTTATTTCTTGTGCTTTGAAG